GTTTTGGTGTACTAAAACCGTTACTTCTGCGTTGCCCTTTATGCCGTACTTCGTTGACTGCGCTCACATTTGAAGTTTCAGTTGCTTTTGCGATTATCTTCGTTTCCGTTATTGTGGCTTTATGTAATGCGTTTGTTAAGGTTGGGACTCATCTTACTCACATAATTTGTCGAAAATATTTTCTGGAAGCCCTGTGACAAAGCGATCCAACCCAAAGTTGTCCAAATTTGAACCAAATTTGCAATTAATGGCCAGTTGCTTCACTTTAGCAAACCATTGAGATACGTTTTCAGAGTCGCACTTGACTGCGGCATAAAATTTTTTACGCTCATTAAAAACAACTGTTGATGGTGTATAATGATCAGACAACATAGAACACAATTCTTTGTAGGTTTTTGATACCGGCGAGCCTGGACTGCATAAGCTATGTACAAGTAGTAAACGGTATAGATCTGAACCAATTGATTTTAACAAAATTGCGTTTTTTACATACTTCTCTTCGCACTTTATTTCGCACAAATGAATTTCTAATTTTTCCTTCCAAATGCACCATAATTCTGTTGCACACGGGAACCCTGGTAGTTAGTTAGCATATATACACTTCGCACTTCCTTTCTTTTTTTATATCGTCGCCAATTATGTAGTGTCTTATACGCTGTTTCTAGTAGAAGTGTGTCGTGTTTTATTGAGTGTGACCGTGGTGTTAGTTTTGCTATAATACCTTACATAGATTTCGATTAATACTAAACATAATATCCATCATATCTGTATGTACATACATACATACATACACAAACATGTATCTACATAAAATACATGCATACATATGTACATATGCATAAATACACTTGCCCGCATAACTCTGCGTACACACAAAAAAATACACAAATTTTAGCTTTAACTGTGAATATCTTTTAACATATGCAACTTATTGATCTAAATGTTTTTGATTTGCTTAGACTCGACATTTTTCTTAATAACTACATTTTTTTAAATATTAATATAACAATGAATATATTTTATTTCTATTTTTTAACAAAACCTTATTGAAAAATGGACCCGCAAAAGTCTGCGTACAAGCAGACTAAACTGTGTAGAATAAGAGAATATGCAATTACAGTTATCTTAGTTGCACTTTTTCTTTTGTTTGAAGTTTGCAAAAGACTTTTGCTATGCATTGAAGTTGTGTTTGATCAATCACAACCGTGCGAAGAGTTATTAAAAAAGCTGGATATCACAGCCGAGTTGCCCGTAGGAAGCCTCACATTTCAGAGGTGAATAAGAAAAAGCGCATGGACTTCGCAAATGAGCACGTGTCGAAGCCTGCTGAATTTTGGGACAAGGTCATTTTCTCGGATGAGAGCAAGTTCTGCATTTTTGGCATAAAAGGCAAGAAATTGGTGTGGAGAAAATCTGGTACAGCCTTAAATAAAGAAAATTTAGTGCCAACTGTCAAACACGGCGGAGGAGGAATAATGGTTTGGGGGTCCATGGCAGCTAATGGCGTTGGGAAGCTGGAGTTCATAGAGTCGATAATGGACCAAAAAGGCTATATCCAAGTTTTGAAGGACAATTTGCTCCCAAGTGCCCAGAAGTTGGGGTTGGAAAATGATTTTTATTTCCAACAAGATAATGATCCCAAACATACAGCTCACAGCGTAAGGCTGTGGTTGCTGTATAACGTAAAAAAACGTTTGCAAACACCTCCCCAATCTCCAGACCTCAATCCTATTGAGCATTTGTGGGACTTGCTCGAGCGCAGAATCCGGCAGCACAACATTACCTCCAAAAGTATGCTCAAGGAGGTAATTTTGCAGGAATGGGAAAAAATAACACCGGCGGACACAAAAAAGCTGGTGGAATCGATGCCTCGACGTCTGGCAGAGGTCCTTCAAAGAAAAGGATACCCAACAAGCTATTAATAAGGAATTTAGCGACATAATATGTTTGAAAAACATTTTGTACGCAGACTTTTGCGGGTCCATTTTTCAATAAGGTTTTGTTAAAAAATAGAAATAAAATATATTCATTGTTATATTAATATTTAAAAAAATGTAGTTATTAAGAAAAATGTCGAGTCTAAGCAAATCAAAAACATTTAGATCAATAAGTTGCATATGTTAAAAGATATTCACAGTTAAAGCTAAAATTTGTGTATTTTTTTGTGTGTACGCAGAGTTATGCGGGCAAGTGTATATAGATTGTGACATTAAGGGCTAGTAGTTTATAGAATTAAACACTGTAAAATTTAACAACGACATAAGTAAAATTTTAAAATACAAAGTATGCAGTTTTTCTTGGAATTTTTCTGAGAGTATACAAACTAAGTTTGAAGTTATTCAGATGAAAATTGTAAATTTTGCATACAAACATTGGACCCTGTTTTCCACCCTTTGGAGCTCGATTTTTTTTTTCGAGTTTCACGAAATTTCCCTTCTTAGTGGGCACCTACACTACACTATACTCCAAATTTTAGCTTTGCGTTGATCACCAATCAGTCAGTCAGGACAAACTGTTTTATATACATTTATAGATTAAACAAACAGAAGATGGGACGCTTGCTTTTTATGAATTTAATGCGAAGGCGAAAACGATATTGATGGGGCAAGTGTGTTTGTACTTAACTCTGGATAACAACTAAACTCTCAATTTCGGCTTACATACTAAGCTCAGCCTAAGGTGGCGAAAAAAGGGCGCGAGGCGACGTCTGTGAAACGGTCGCTCTCGGGCTCTCTTTTCGCCCTAAACTAAACTCCAAATATTAACTATCTTAATTTAAAGGAGCATCTGCACCATCACATATCTTATGCAAATATTATTAAATTAACAATTTCCTGTTGCTGTTTGTACTTTTAGTTTATAGGAATAATACTAGTCGCTGAATATGTACACGTGTAACTAGTATCACTTGTACTCGGAGAAGCTGAAAAGGAATGCAAGATCAGAAGAGCAAGAGTGTTCTTTTTGTTCTGTCTGTATATTAATTGAAATGCAAGGGTTTAAATACGAAATTTTGAATGTGCGTAGGTCTAATTATTTCTAATCCAAGTGTCTAAAAATATATCGTCGCTGGGGGGTTGTATGCAGCTCGCTGTGTAGGTGCGTACGTATCCCGAGTCGGTTTAAGTAGCCAAACTTGGCGAAAATTATGGGTGGTCAAGTGGCAGGTCTGTGTGTTAGCGAAAATATGAATGAATGAATCATTTAAAAATACAATACGTACCAGTAAAACAAGATGCAACTACATTTTTGTGATTTATGAATTCAATTTCAAATGCTAGTTTTTTGTAGGAGAAAACGCCACAACATAATTATAATATAATTATTCTAAACATATGTACAGAGTATTTCAAAGTCTTGTTTTCTATTTATTTTAGTGCGTTTAAATTTAGTAAATCAAATGTAATCTTCGACAGTCAGCTGTTGTGAGAGATGAGTGCGTTATAGGATGTATATAGAACTAGTAACGTACCCAGGGTTCGTAAAATGCGCACACTGCACGCTGCTGCACACGCATGCAGGGCTGCCGTCTGCACACGGCACGATACTGCTATCGTGCAGGTCGGCAGAGGCCGTGTGCAGGCAGGCAGCGGCCGAGCGCTCGATCGTGCAACCAGGCAGAGGTCGAGCGCTCGTTCGTGTTACGCAGGCATACATACATATACATGCGTGCACCCCATCGACAGGCGAGCATTTTGAACTTGTTGTACTCGACGAAATATTAGACGTTAGTGGGGATGCTCGGGTGAATTTAAATACTCGACGTTTTGCTCGCAAAGAATAGAAATGTTTCTATATTACTACTGTTCGTGCGAACATATTTGACAGTTGATGGTAGTGTTGTCCGAGCATCATTTGACAAAATATTTGTAATCACAGACGTCTGAAAATGAACAAGCTATTATTGCTCGATTTTATAGAACGCTTCCACAATGAGCCGTCTTTGTAAAAAATAAAAGCGAGGAATATAAGATGGAATATAAGATGGGAAGTACTATTAACAAAATATCAAGAAATTGAACATGGACACAGTTAAAAAAAAAAGTAAATTCACTGCGTGCGTCCAGTAAAGAATTTCAAGTCCTCATAGCTTTTCCCAGTGGCCAAAAATCTCATAGTAGCTGATAGCCGTTCATTGGGCGTTATTGCCAATCTCAACATAGAGTCCTTTCGCTGAATTACGAGTTTTACTAAGCTTAATAGCTCCTCCTAAGTTCGGCCATCCATTCGAAGGAAATTCTTCAAATCCACCGGAGAGGACTCATTCAGCTACTTCAAGAGTTTCGTGTGACTGAATTTCCCTCGCTTCATGTACCACTTTTTCATCCCCATATTGTGCTCCTTTTTTGGCTTCCATTTCTTTTTACTTTTTATTTCTTAATACATACTTGAATTGCCATTAAGGCCAAAATTGTATTTTCGTCCGTATCCATTTATACATACATTCCGTACTTTTCAAAATATTCTCTCAAATGATATTCACAAACAATGTTTGTCATGTTAGTGGAAAAATGTATTTGTGCTGCCGAGCAAGTTCAGGCAACATGCTCGCCTGTGGATGTGGTTCTTAAGCGTCGACAGTCACCTGTGTCTCACAGCAGGCTTTCGAAGTTTTGTCTAACCGACGGATTTTTTTTTGAGATTTCAAAAACAACTGTAGGCGAAACCTCCAGAGATTCCTCGGCAACCCTGATAGTCTCTGAGATCCAGATTTGCATACGGACGGAAAGACAGGGCTAGTTGGAATCGTCTTGACATGCTGATCAAGAATATAATTAATATAATACACTTTTGTACATTTCATGTGCAGAGTGTAAAAATTGACTCTAAATGTCAGCATCACAACTCTTACCAGTGATTGCACATATGTATGTAGCTTTTCGTGTTAGTTAGTTTAGTTAGTTTTTCATTGCGAACCTCAATAGCTCACGCCCCAATGACTTTCTCGACTGGTATTTCTAATTTTTTTCTATTAATTACGTAAAAAAATTTCTTTGCAGATTCAAATTAAAACTAATTCCAGGTACAGGAAAACGTGGAAGAGCTGCTAAAGTTGCACTTGCATTGTTTTCAAAGGACAAAAGCTGTAACTCCCGAGAAGCTGATTTACTAAAGAGCATTAAGGAAGAGGCCCTAGCTCGTAATATTCCTGGAAAAGTAAAGCTATCAGCGCCACAGCAACATACATTTAGAAAGCATTAATAAGATTATAACAAACATTAATTTTCATAAAACTTAAAAAGAGCTGGAATAGTTAGAAAGTTTAATTTGGTTAATTAAAAATACAGCAAATATAAATAAAAAGTAAAATAAAATGTAAATAGACAGCGAAAATATAAGAAAAATTACATCATAGAGCTGACTTAATATATATTTATTATGTTTTGATAGATAGATAGATAGAAAACACAAATGAAATGCTACGGAACGAGCCCAACTTGAGAATACGCAGTTCCTGCATCAGCTGTGATGGCCATCTTGACAAGGGCAACTACTAGGCAGTGACGACTTTGTACTCCTTTGTCTGGCGTTGCAAGAGGAATTTCGTGAGTTTGTGGTCTCTACCCTTGCACATTGTGGGAGCTGTTCTGCGGTTGGCATTGTTGTTCCACTGTTCACCTGCTGTAGTCTATGTTTTGTGCTCTCATCTGCTCTGGAGCTCTCTCGGTGGTATCGGTAAGTAGTTCACATCAGCCTGGGCAAGAAATATTCCTTGCTTTACAAGAGTATCTGCCATCTCTTTGCCCTCAATGACCCGGTGGCTGAAGGCGCGGTAGATGTGCACCTTTTTTCCCGGCGCATAGCCTATCTACAGGTTCCCTGCTCGCCAAGACGTTATTCGAGCAGATGATTGGGGCGTGTAAAGTTTTGATGGCTGCTTGATTGGTTGTCCAAAGCCTCTCCCCCTCATAAAAGACGATTTTAATATGCTCAACAGGATAATTTTAGAAACAGATTGGTTATTTCTCCAGAGATTCCTCGGCACCCCTGATAGTCTCTGAGATCCAGATGTGCATACGGACGGAAAGACAGGGCTAGTTGGAATCGTCTTGACATGCTGATCAAGAATATATATAATATAATACTCTTTTGTACATTTCATGTGCAGAGTGTAAAAATTGACTCTAAATGTCAGCATCATAACTCTTACCAGTGATTGCACATATGTAGCTTTTCGTTTTCCTTAGTTTTTCATTGCGAACCCCAATGACTTTTTTCGACTGCTATTTCTAATTTTCTATTAATTACATAAAAAAAATTCTTTACAGATTCAAATTAAAACTAATTCCAGGTAAAAGAATTGTATTTTACTTTGCATATTTATTATACCAGTAGGTCTCGCCCGTCTTTGCTGGCTCAGTATTTGTGCTAACAATTATACATTTATTTACTATACGATATTTATCTTCCGATACTCTCTAATATTTCTAAAGAGTTCATTTCCCAAACAGCAAATTACTTTAGTACGATTCGAGAGCAAGAACATAAAGTACAATAAATACAATGTATGGTTGTATGTACATACATATGTATGTAAATCAAAGCATGTAATTTTTAGAATTAAAAACTGTACAATTTGGCAAAGTTATTTGGTCAACTTATGCAACTGCACAACATTTAAATAAGCATACACACCTATGTAGGACGGCCATAATTGGTATTCCGGAAAAACAGGGGAAAAAAAAAAAAACCGATGAGGTAGGGAAACTACAAGTTGATTGGACAGTCTGCCGACTAGTTAAAAAATCTACACCAAGAAGGTGCTACAAATGCCTTGAATTTGAGCACATTTGTGGGAACGACCCTACAATTGAATCTAAACCACTGCGAGGCTGCTAAAGAAGACAGTGCGTGCACAACACATCGACCTAGCAATCCTTAGTGAACACTACAGAGCGGCTGACCCGCAACGATGGACAACTAGCGGATGCAAGAAGGCATCGATATGGACGTGTGGCAAGTTCCCACTTGAGAAGGCCCACGGCAGCGAGCAAGGGTATGCAAAAAGCTCAGTCAACGGAATAATGTTCTTCAGCTATTACTACCACCAGGCAATCATATTCGAGATCCACGGACGACCTACGAGACGGATTCCAACTGCTGCCACCCGATCAAACCCAGGCTGGAGGGACACCACTTTTGATAAAGAGGCCTTTAATCCTTCGATGGGTGAGTGTCACCTAACGGGTAATGCGAGCACCAAAGCGTCCACCCTGATGCGCCGCGTTGTCGAGGCCTGTAACGCGTCTATGGCTAGGAAAAGCCATCAGACAGGCAGACAACTTGTTTACTGGTGGAACAGGCAAATAGCCGACCTAAGGAAGAAATGCATTCTTGTCGAGTTCCAAGAAGAGTTAAAGGCCGTGAGGACCGCCCTAAAAAAGCAATTACCCAATTGTGGAGGGTCTCTTCCCCCAGAGGGTGGAAATTACTTACTCAGTACAAAGCTGTGAATCGAAACTAAAGAAAGCACCAAGGGTTGATGGAGTCCCAAATAATGCCCTAAAGACGGCTGTCGAACATGACGCCGAATTATTTAGAGATACATTTGACGCATGCATTAAGGAAAGGAAATTCCCCCAGATCTGGAAGAAGCAAAAACTTGTGCTGATCCGTCTGGCTACCGGCCGGTCTGTATGATTGACAGTATCAACGGACGCAGCCATAGTTTTTCAGGAATGCCACCGCTAGAAATATAAAGGAGTGGACCCAAAGGAGACATGGGCAGGTGAATTACTACTTGACCCAGCATGGATGCTTTAGAGCATACTTGTACAAATACAAGCACGACAACAACAACACTTGCCCGGTATGCATAAGCGTTATAGAAGATGCAGAGCACGAGTTCTTTCACTGTCCACGATATACCCACTAGCGGAACAGCCTAGAAAAAGCAGTCGGAGCACAGGTTACACCCAGCAGCTTGGGAAACCTGATGTTGACATCCTGGATTGAAAACTGGATCCATGTCTGCGACATCGCCAGAGAAGTGATAGAGCGACAAAGGGCGGCAGAAAAAGAGAGATCAGCAGAATCTACTTTTTCTTTCTCTGCGCAGAGATTTTTCTGTTTACTTTGGTTTCTTGTAGTGACTTTTAATATTTTACTTTCTTTTTGTATATTTTTTAGATCTGATATAGTTATTCATGACAACGCATCTGCTATATGCCTTGAGATATTCAACTGTGAAATCATACTCCTCTAAGTCAAGTCTCATGCGCGTCAGTTTTGAGCTCGGGTTCGTCATTGAAAACAAGTAAGTTAAGGGCCTATGATCGGTTTTGACTGTGAAGTGTCTGCCATAAATATATGGTCGAAAATGGTTTATTGCCCAATGGATGGCTGCCAGTTCTTGCTCCGTTGTATTTTTGTTACTTTCCGCTTTTGTAAACGATCTTGATGCATACGCTACCGGCAGCTGTATCCCATTATGATTTTGGGTCAGTACAGCTCCACAAGCTTGCTTACTCGCATCCGTCGTTATACAAAATTCTTTGATAAAATCTGGGTACTGCAATAACGTAGGCTTCATCAACTGGACTTTCAAATATTCGAATGCTTTTTGACATTCATCTGTCCACTCAAACTTAACATTCTTTCTACATAATCTTGTTATGTGCCGCGAATAATCGGCGAAATTTTTTATAAAACGTCTATAATAATTGCAGAATGCAACGAATCTTCTAGCGCTATCAGCGTCCGTTGGGACTGGGTACCTTTCTATGACATCATATTTCTTGCTGTCTGGCAAAATACCCTTATCAGTACACTTATGGCCCAAAAAGGTTACCTCGTGCCTGAAGAATGAGCACTTTTCGGGGTGAAATTTAAGGTTGTGTTTTCTACATAAATCAAAAACGCTTGTAAGATTCTTATTCATATGTTTTTCTGAGCATCCGATGACAATCAGGTCATCCATATATAAGAATGCCTGAGAGGGTTCTATACCCGAAAATGCGATTGTCATCATTCTTTGAAAGGAATTTGGTGCTATTTTTAAACCATATGGTAATCGCGTGAAGTGATAAGAGCCATTGCTCGTGGAAAAAGACGTTATGTTTCTGGAGCTTTCCTCAAACTCTATCTGATGAAGTCCTGACATCAGATCCAAACATGAGAAGTACTTAGCTCTACCCAATTGATCGAGAATATCATCAATTCTGGGCAATGGAAATTTGTCGGACAAGATTTTTTTATTGATCTGGCGATAGTCAATCACCAAACGCCATCTTTTACTATCAGAACCCGGCAATGACTTCTTTGGAACTATCAATAATGGGCTATTATATTCTGAGACTGACGGTTCTACTATTTTGTCTCTTATTAGCTTCTCGACTTGCTTTTCTACCTCTTATTTTTGGCTATGTGGAATTCTATAGTTCTTAATATAAACTGGTTCATCATCTTTCATTCTTATCTTTTGTTTGTAGAAATTATTGGTTGATATCGATTCGGTTTCTATTCCGAATACGTCAATGTACTTATATTTCTTCATAAAATCTGTACCTATTATTCCATCACATGGAATCGGAAAGTCTGAATCTACTATACTGAAGTCATGAGGGATGGCATAGCATGTTGATAGGAGTTCTATCATTGCCGATCCTTTGGAATTGGTTGTTCCCTCACCTATACCGGACAATTGAGTAATATTATTATAATTGACGTTATCAAACGAGTCCGTATCTTCCTTTATTAAAGACACATCTGCACCTGTATCAACCAGCAATGTGTACAACTTACGTGTTGCTTCATTTTTATACTCTGTACATGAAATGTACAGAAGTATATTAGGTTTGCGGGAGCTGAAAAATGTAACAGGCAGAAGGAGGCGTGGCAGACCCCATAAAGTATATATATTCTTGATCAGCATGACGAGACGAGTCGATCTAGCCCTGTCTGTCCGTCTGTCCGTCCGTATGAACACCTGGATCTCAGAGACTATAGGAGATAGAGACACCAAATTTTGCACAAAGATGCGTTATGAGGGTTTTCCCGATATTCCATTCGTATAATCGCCTATATGTCTAATATGAATACGCAGAAAATGTGTGTTTTGGAATTTCCCTCCCTCCCCCTTCTCCCCCGCAAATCGTAACTCCCGTAATTCTTGGAATTTCGAATTAAAATTTTGCAAATACCCCCAGTTAGTTATTATGTGTCCGTATGCCAAGTTTCACTATGATAGACCGATTTAACAAGAAGTTATAGCCATAAATATATTTGCTGCTGCTGCGCTGCTCAAGCGCTGCCCGCGGCTGTTGTTGATGCTGGTGCTTTTGTTGACTGCACACATATTTACACAGACACGAATAGATGC